GGTGAATTAGAGGAATTAACCTGAACGCATTTAGCTGTAACCCTGCAGTCTACATAGCGGGCTTGGATCGCTTGGCTTTAAGCACAAACAATGTTTTCCCAGAGCCGTAAATAGGAGCTGGGCAGCCATGCCGATGACTGAAATGCTGGATCAACGGGGACAGTAGACAGCAGGCTTGATGCCCTTCTCAAAACATCAAGGTTAAGGAAAAACAACACAAGCATATTAGGCTGGAGAAATCATGAGGCAAATCATCTGTGCAGACGTGAAAATTTTTTCTAGAAGTATTTGCAGAATGAATTTAAATTTCTGTAGTGTCTTCCCCCTCCACCTCCCAAAGAACCCAGGGCACTCCAAACAATAAAACTGTTCTTCACCATATTTAAAGCTCTGTGGCAAAAAACTAGCTCATGCTCTTGCAGCAATTTGCTGCTACTTCAGACTCAACTTTATATTGCTAGTTATACATGTATTAAAGATCCCCTTTCCCCGCAGCATACACAACCCATTACAGCGTTTTGTTTATGAACAGGACTAAACAGAGCCAATCTCTCACAGCCTTACGTTACACATAATTAAACGCTCTCTAATTTAACCGTAGTCACGCAAGTGACACACAGTACCACCTACGTTACCCTGGACATGGGCCAGCTCGCTTCCTCCCACGTCACTCCGCATCTATGCTAGAAGTAAATATTCAGGGGTAAAACCAGGGACAAACGCTTGCATCCTTAGTCCCCAAAGGGACCCTGGGCTAGCAGCGATAAGGCAGAGGATGAAGAGTACCGTGTAGTGCCACCTAGATGAAAAGATTTTATTTTCTTATCAGCTAGCAAGAAGCTCACCCTCTTTTGTTCCCTTTCAGTGGTCAACTTTCCCTTGTGTCTCGGCAGAGCAGCGCGGCCGTGAAGACATACCTTACCTTATTAGGCAATCTGAGTCCAGAAAGCAGGACCCGGAGCCTTCCTTAGCTTCAAAGACAGTCCACAGGCATGTGTGCAGCCTGCCAGCACCGTGCTCCACTGTGCTGCCGCGGGGAAGGGGGCAATAAAACAGCGGGAGCTGGGGTAGCTGCCTGGACTCCTAGGGCTCCCGATACACGCAGTCTGGCTACAACAGGCAAGTCACAAGACACCAGCTAAAGCTGTTTCTGATCTTTTAGTTGTTTATCAAATCCATCTTTCAAAAAAGGTAAACAGCACGATTACAAAAGCTAAACTGGAAGTCTCTGTAGAAGATAAAATGCCACTAAAAGCAAAAATATAGGTGAGAAATAGAACATACCAAAATCAGGACTCCCAAGCTGTAACTCCCAAACAGCTATAACATTAAGACATTTAGTTTGCATAAGGAATTTTCCAGTTCATTGGTCTTCCCTTAGAATTCATGGAATCAACCTTAGAAATTCAGTGTTTCTAAGATAGAGATTTAGCTTTTATTAGTACCCAGTTGCATCTGGTGATTTCATGTTAATAGTACAACTAGGCAGAACACGTAACACTTACAAAACAGAGTGAGCTTGAATAGTGTTTTGCAGAATTCAAAACACTCGTGTTTCGTAAATCAAAGTACAGAGAGACAAGAATGGAGCCTATTTAATACACTTACTGTGATCATAATCCATAATCATATGTTTCAGAATTATTCCTGTATAAAAGTTAATTCCATTAAAGTCTCAGTTTTATACTGTGCTATACAGACTGTCCTAGAAGAAGTTCATGAGAACAGATGTTTTCTATGACACTTTTACTGCCCAGAAATTGTTACTTTACCAACATGACACTCAGTGCGTTCCCCGGTATTTAAAGCTTTCCCTTGATGAACTATCTAACACACAGGTGAGGCACATTTGTCATGCCACTAAAGAGAAAGGCAAGGAGATAAAGTTCTTTAAATGATTACAAACATTTTTCTGTTTCTGTTGTGTATGGTATGTCACTTAAAATACACTTGTCCTCAGATCTGTTCCCAGTTTCTCCTGCTGTGTAATAGTGATGGCCAAAGTCAGGTGTAAGTCAAAGCCAGAAGAGCCAGGGATAAGGAAAACCCTCTCCAAAATGTAACATCGAACCATTCTCTTTAGTTTTCACCATTAGCCTTCAAATGCTGCATCCCAGACTAGAGCCGCTGGTTTCTACCTGCACCGACTGTACTGCACTGGTACTCGCTGCCCCACCACGACCGAGTTCTCGCCGGCATTTCAGAGTCACTGCCTTGCCGGGAGCAGGAAAGGTTTCCTGGTGCCCGCCTACCCACGTGGCTCGGACTGGCACTGCTAATGGGATCTTCTGGACTCTCACAATTTTTAATTTCTGAGAAAGAGAGACTAGACTGTGGCCAAACATTTTTCCCCCACCTCTGGTTTGAGCTCAGGTTTCCCCAGACCGAACAGACTCTTTCCTCTACACATCCTTCCCAGTGGAACCATGCAGAAAACTCTCCTAAAGCCGCTTTCCCAGAGGCTTTTTCCAGCTGAAGTCCTTGTGCCCTTGAACATTTATTCCACAATAAAACTTTGTCTGCTCTTCCAACTTTCCACAACGCGCCCAAGCAGTCTGCATCGCAAGGAGGAAGGCGGGGTCGGTGAAACACGTGAAGGCTGCCTGACGCATCCTCTTACGAGACTGCTCGCAGCTGCCTAAGCTCAGCCAAAGCGTCTGGGCTGGTTTCCCACGCTGGTGCTCCTAAGTTTCAGCCAAAATAATTCATCCACTTCTGAGAATGAGAACAACATGTATTTGCCTCTTTTTCAAAAATTGCATCTACCTTCCCTTTGCTAAACTCCAGCGCTGCATAGTCTGGAGGAGGGAATTCAAGTAGGGCCTTTTTTGGCTCCCATGAAAATCTTCCTAATGTCAGCCAAGATACAAACACTGAAAGAAAAAAACCCAAACTGCTCTTCTGAAATTAGGACAGTCTTTGGTGAGGGTCTGCAACCAAAATGGGACACTTTAGTGTGTTCAAGTTCACAACTCTGATGGTGGCACCTACCATTCTAGAATTATAATTATTATTGTTATTGATGAATTAATGATTATTAATTGCACTTCCCACTTGATACTAGAACCAAAAGCAAGGAGCTGCTCTGTGGCTCTTGCCAAACTGATGGCCAGTTAGCAGGACAGAAATCTCTCCAATTTGGATGTTGTTGTGGGCCAAAACCAGGACAGAAGTAAAATAAACTGGGGAAGAGTGATCAAGTGACGAGACACAGGAGGCAAGCAGTAAAGAAAATGAACTGGAAACTAGATAAAAACAAGAGGACTGGGAGAATGGGAAAACCAGCTCCATCAGAGTGAAAAGAGAGTCTAAACCAGGGTCTCAGATAGGCGAGGTGTGTAAGAAAACGGGGGAATGTTGCCGTAAAGCACGCGCATGAAGGGGCCAAGGGCACTGAAGGGAACTTGCTCTGCTGTTAGATGGGAACCCACAAGAAAATGGTGGGAAGTGTAAGACAAAAGAATTCCTTGCTATTAACTTGGGGAAAACCAGCATCACTAATTATAAGAGACTCGGTGACCCTGAATTTTTGGGCAGGAACATACGGTGGTTCTTAGGAAGTGCAGTTAACCCATCTACAACAGCAGCGAGGACTGTGCTCCGTAGACTTTTCAGCAATTTTAGGAAGCCTCCAAACCTGCAGCCTCAGATACTCTTTTGTCTTAATTTAGCTAACCTGGGACAACTTCCCAGAAGAACAAGACATTCCCAGCAAGTCCAAAACACGACTGCTGGAAAGATGGTGTCCCTATTATTATTATTACTTTTTACACGTTACAAAATACCCCTCCTTCAGTTTTACTGTGAGATGGCAGAAATGTCAAAACAACTTTGAAGGTGATAAATGGCTGAATCTTTCATGCAGGGTAAGTGGAAGATTTAACGAAGCTGTGTACTGCTACGAACAGAAACCCCCATGGGAAGAGCTGGGCTACTCAAAGCAGGTGGTGCTTCCGTGGGAAGGAATATCCCACGTTTCACACTGCGCAGCAAGCACTGGGAAAGCAAAGGCTGGCACTGAAAGACAAGCACATGCCAAGAGCCATCCCAGCACCACACGAGTCGCTGGTCCCCACAAGGCTCACCGTGACTTTGCCCCATTTTACTGAGTATTGCAAAAAGAAAAACAAAAATACACTCTGAAGAGCGTTACTGAAAATTTTCAGCAAAGAACCGGTTAACTTTTCAATAAAATGATGTCTCAATCACTCTCCTGAATTGCAAAGTATGGGGAAAAACTACCATAAATTCAACATTTTCTGGCAGGCAGGCTGACCCCTAAGCAATCTTAAATGTGCCATTTTTCCCAGGTCTTGCACATCATGCTTTAATAGTTTGGAAATGTATTTAGCTTTAACATTGTCAGAGTAAGTAATGTTGTCAGACTCAAATAGACAAAGACAGAGAAAACCAAAAGAAACCAAGGCAATTTGGAAGGACTCAATCATTATTAGAAAAGAAAAGAAAGGGCCTCGAAGGATGAGACTATTGCAAGAACAGGGGAACAATGAACAATCTCTGATGTGTTGCTTGCCGAGACAATTTCCCGCAAGAAAACAAATCCATGAGGAGACAAGAGTGCAGATTTTAGAAATACAAAACATACTGTCCAAAATAACAGCGTCAGGGTGACTCTGAGATACAAGGTCACGCGCCCTCCTCGGGACACCTGACAGCCACGCTCCCCAGCCGTGGCAGCTTCCGACAGCGCTCTCAGCAAGGCACTCACCCCTGCTCCTGCTCCAGTCCCTCCAGGTTTGAGAACTGCCTATGCAGCTCACGAAGAGCCAGCTTCTGAACTTAGGCCAGTCTGTAGATATTCTTTATCTTTCAGACAAGAATCAGTAAGCGATTTGCTACTCAGAGCTACCTCCCAGGTCATACCCGGCTCCTGAACAGAGCCTGAATCTCTCATATAAACTAGAGTAAAGCCGTAGAAGACTTCTTGCCACCAGCACTCAAGAGTGAAACACCAACTATTTAGACATGTTTGCACTTACCCGAGTTTCCTTCACTTCCTCATTTCCATCAACTTCATCATCATCCTAGGATGAAAAGCAAACAATATAATTAGGCAGCCTTGGAGACAACAAAATTTTATCACAGGATAAAAGATAATCTATTGCTTGTGATTTGATGTTAACACCAAGAACAATTCTGTCAAAAGAAATGCCTGTCTAGATGCTTTTGGCTGATTATCAAATCAGGTTTGGTAACCTAATGGCCATTAGAAGATCTTGGTACTGGGGCCAGAATTACTCTCTTGAGATAGCTACCGTAATTTGAATGCTCCTGAAGAGTCAGTAGAAGTATTTCCTTAACACATTTAGGGAACAAATCTGATAGATCAGAGGACTGCACGTCTGAAATGTTGACATAATACTGACTTTCAAAGAATATCCTCCACTTCAAATAGACTCCAGGAGGAAAGACTAGTCATGCCATTCAGAGGGACCGGGACAAGCTCAAGAAGCGGGCCCATGCAAACCCCGTGAGGTTTGACAAGGCCAAGTGCAAGGTCCTGCACCGGGGTTGGGGAAACCCCCGGTATCAACACAGGCTGGGGGATGAAGGGATTGAGAGCAGCCCTGCGGAGAAGGACGTGGGGGTACTGGGGGATGAAAAACCAGACATGAGCTGGCAATGTACGCTTGCAGCCCAGGATACGGTTGGCTTTCTGGGCTGCATCAAAAGCAGCGTGGCCAGCAGGTCGAGGGAGGGGATTCTGCCCCTCTGCTCTGCTCTGGTGAGACCCCACCTGGAGTCCTGCATCCAGCTTTGCGGTCCTCAGCACAGGAAAGCCATGGACCTGTTGGAGTAGGTCCAAAGGCGGCCACAAAAATGTTCAGAGGGCTGGAACACCTCACCTGTGAGGAAAGGCTGAGAGTTGGGGTTGTTCAGCCTGGAGAAGAGAAGACTCCGGAGAGACCTTATTGCGGCCTTCCAGTACTTAAAGGGGGCTTGTAAGAAAGATGGGGACAGACTTTTTAGTAGGGCCTGTTGCGACAGGACAAGGGGTAATGGTTTTAAACTAAAAGAAGGTAGATTCTGACTAGATTTAAGGAAGAAATATTTTATGACGAGGGTGGTGAAACACTGGAACAGGCTGCCCAGGGAGGCTGTAGATGCCCCATCCCTGGCAACATTCAAGATCAGGTTCGACGGGGCTCTGAGCAACCCGGTGGAGTTGTAGATGTCCCTGCTCACTGCAGGGGGGGGTGGACTGGATGACCTTGAAAGGTCCCTTCCACCCCAAACCATTCTGATTCTATCCCAGATAGCTTGCACTTAACACAGCCTCTCTGTAACAGCACCAGGATTTCATGGAGCAATGGTGAACTACCATGGCATCACATCCGACTCCGTACTGAACTCAAGGTATTGGAGAAGTTCTAGCTGTGGTTTCATATAGAGGCAACGGGGAAATGAACTAAAACTCTGGGAAGTGACTTGCCTTCTGCTCTGAAGCTAGTAATATTACTACAATGACGTGGAAGACAAGTGGGCAAGCTGTAAAGCATTTAACAAAAAAAGCCCCCAAAAAGAAAGAAAAAAAAAAAATCACATTTAGCATGCAAATGAAAAAATGTAAGAATCATTTGAAAATAATAAAAAGGGGGTGTTTGCAACAAGTCTTTCAATAGAAATTGAGGTTTCCAGCAGGACCCTGTTCAACTTGCCTGTAACTCCAAATATTCAACATATCTACTGTTGCCACAGGGAAGACCACAGGATTTTCTTTCATTGTATTGTGCAGGAAGCCTCTACCCTGAGGTGTATGAGGAAGGCTATATGTCCATAGCTGGACTAGAATTGTTGCAGACTACTTAACCGTGATTTCATAATACTTATTCTCCTGCTGAAAAGATCTGTTTTCCTACGTGAGTTTCTAACCAAGGTTAGGAGGGCTGGATTTCTTCCTTCAGAATGAAGAAATCCTTTTGAAACCTGGACTAAGAGAAACGACCACAGCACAGACAGCTCTTCTGCATTTCTGCTCTGTGTGTTCTCTGGTGCTGGTCAGGGTATCCTGACACAGGTTTTACTCCTCATTGTCTTCCTTCTAGGGGGCCTAAAGTGTAGCCAAATTTGGGCTCAGAGGAATTTGAAAATACTTTCAGCGGCTCCCGACCGCCCTCTTTCCAATTTGAAAATACTATCAGCGGCTCGTGACCGCCTTCTTCCAAAGAAACTAGACTTCTAATCTCTCTTCTCCCATGTGGGCTCTTTTACAACTGTGCAAGGATCATCTGATTTATGGCTCAAGAACAGGCTTCCCAGGGCCTGCTGCCTGGGTTCTACAGGGGCCAAACAGGGATGTGATTCCTTTGGAAGTGCCAGTCTGGAACAGAGTCGGAGACAGAAGGACTAATGGGAAATAAACTGACTTAGGAAAGAATCTGAAGCTTGGAACTGGAAGGAAATTCACCCTGAATACGACAGAATGAGTTTCCCTTCTCTAAGGAACTCAGACTTACATCTTTTGTTGAGAAAATGATGCCGGTGCCTCTTCGCCTCTCTTTTGGCCGCCGCCTCTCTCGGATTGACTGTTTGTTCGGAGATCTGTCATCTAAATCCTGATCTTCGCACTCTGGCCAAGCAAAGAAAGACTGCTTTGGTTTCAGTGATTTACATCTGTGCTTTTCCTAAGGTACTGGGCTCTTTTCAAGCTGATCAAGGTCATCTTGGCTTGTGTTATATTACAAAGGAGTTATTAAACCAAATGAAATGGCATCTCAGTGCCCTACTACATCTGGTTACTCACACTCCTTCCTTTATCAGAGCCCAGAGAGGTCACCCTGGCTCTCAGCTCTCCCCAAATCATCCTGACTTACTCCTGTTCTGAGGACAAACTGTACTAGGAGAATCGTTCCCCCCAGCTCTAAGAATCTAAATGCTCCATGGATTACTATCTCATTTACTTATCCAAAATGGAAAACATCCTTTTATCCCTCTCTGTTACAAGCAACAGGCTGTATCCTACATTAGGATTTCCATTTAAACAAATAAGATTTGTTTGGTGAGGTGGCAGCTCCCCATACCGCTCCCCTCAGAATAACAAGTAAACTTATTCTCTCTGTACACATTGAAAGTTCTAAAACTCATGAAAATCCCTGAGCTTTGACTGTTCTTCATTCTCCTGGGTACATACCATTTTTCTCCATCTCCGTGGCTGCACCTCTGAAGTCTGTGGTGTTCACAGAGTCAAGACCTAGATACTTATTTGTTCGAGTCAGGTAGGAACTTGTGTAAAGGAGAGGTGCTGACGTCGATGGAGATACAGGTGTCGTAGGTTTGTCTGGGTGTCCTGGGCACCTTAATCGCCGATAGACAGTCTATAAACAAAGAACCATGACAAAAGGTTAGTAGAATGAAGAGGAACTAGCAGATTTGGGATTTCAGGGAACTGCGTACTCTTTCAGAGCGTAACATTGCCTTCACTGCTGCTGGAAGCGACCACCTCCACCCGCCAGATCAGGTTCATTACATCAGACTGGGATGAATCTTAAAAGCACTGTACAGCTACAACGTGAAAGCACTTTCCCCTCGCTGGGAACTGCCAATGGCAGGACAGACAAGTTATCTAATAGAAATGAATGATTTAGAGTAAAAAACCAGAAGTGATGGCAGGGGGAGAAAACTGGTCTCTCTAGCTTTCCATTACACACAGAACGTCTGTGGAAAAATGCGAACACAAAGCCTCAGTCCAGTCTGCACAGCAAGGATGGATCCAAGCCACATTTCTATCATTAGCCTTCTCATTCCACTTTCTGTGATTTACACAGGGGTTTTTTTTCTGGCAAAAGACAAAGTAAAATTCCCAGCGGAGAGCAAAGGAACAGCTAACCTCTAACACCTACATAATCCACATCCCTCGTGCAGGTCGCTAGGTGAGGTACTACTCCTCGGTGTGATTCTTTCCAGCAAGTCTGCCCCCCTTAAAATAAACAGACATCCCCAAAAGAATTTCTCCTGAACTCAGCTATCCTAAATGGTTTCATTAACTCTGAAACAACGGGAAGTGAGGCCAGGAGGATCACCTCCTCATCTGTATTTCTGCTCCACCGTGAGCGGGTCTCCTGCCTCTCGCTGCTGTCCTCAGCAGGCTCAGAGCTCTCAGCTTTCTCGCTTTGCTGCTCCTGAGCTTGCCGCTCTGCCCGAGACCGGCTAAAGGTTCGCTCTGCCTCCTGAAGGTCTGTCAGTGTCACACCCTGGGGAGGAAGTAAAAGAGAGAATTTTTAAATGTATGCGATTAGATTTCAAGTCTTCCAGGTCAGTTTAAAATGCCCAGCAGGCTTATACCTGGCCAGGCTGATGTTTCATCTTTATGTTAACAGAAAGAAAAGAATTCTGTTGCCTTTAACACATTTCTCAGTGTACCAACTAATCACTGACTCAAAGCAACCCAAATATACGTGATCAAGCTACAGACTAAAAGGCAGGTATACTGCAGACATGAGAACTTTGAAATCTAACTTGTGTATGATGGGGGGTGTATTTTGCAATAACGTTTTGCAGGAACTTTTGCCAGAACCTCTCCAACAGTGTGAGGGTAGACAAGCCCCTCGTCCTAAGCAGTAAAATAGAGCAAAAGAAATTCTTGCCTCTCTATACATCAGCTCTCTTCATCCTACACACAAACGTGAGTATTTCCATGCTTTACCTGCGTAGACCTGCGAGTCTGCCGGGCCTGCCTGGATCGTGCCTTCCTCAGCGATTCTGCTTCCTCATCCCGCACCGGAGTCAGATATGACCTGGAAAAAAAAAGGGCAGGAGAGGTTAAAACAAAAACAGATGCTCTGCCACGCTCTGCCTTCCTGTCTGCAAGATCTTGAGCTGAAATATTTTTTTCATATGGACAAATATCATTTTAGCTCCAAGGCTACTGTCATCTTCTGCTTTGGGACAACTTCCTTATGAGCACACGATACAAAAATGCTCACATTACTTTCTCCGCAGAGTCTCTACATAAACTCTTTAGTGTTGGACATGTTTTGTTAAAAAAAGGTGCACTATTTAATATTTTATTTGCCCCATTCCATGTCTTATTGCATCATTAGTTAAAAAAAAAAACAACCCACCAAACCAAAAAACACCAAACCACCTCTCATTCAGATAAAGATCTCAAGAACAGAAATCCTGCACTGGCACATTCCTCAGACCCTCCTTCCTGTCATTATATTCATGATCATATTCCTGCAATCTGCTGTCTTCATCAATATGAAATCCATCATGCTAGAAAACGGCTGAACTGCAGGCATCTTATACAGACAAAACACCTTGAAAAAAGCTATGAAATTAAAGAAGCAACCTTCACATACCAGAATAAACCAAGTCCCTTAATACTGAAAACCACACAGTTAAAATACAGAGCTGGTCACCACTGGATTTCATTAAACTGGGGAGATTTCGAAAGAATTACACACATGAAAATACATAAACTGAACTCTCTGCACTGGCATTCACTGTGGAGGAACTGGAGAGGAATTCAGCAGTGCTCCCGCAGTCGGGGATCGCACAGCAGTACGGCTGATTTCCGTATTGGTGGGGTGGCTTCCATCTTAGGAAAGATTAATTAGATTGGACTCTTCAGCCTGCTTAATAGGGAACGATTATTAACACTGTCTCACCGTAAAAGGATGAGGGTGCCTGAAAGCAATGTTTGTGTTTAGGTCTATCACTGCCACAGGTTAAGAGAGCATCAAAGACCGAGACGCGTTCAAAGAACAATTAGCCAAGCGAGGGATTAAGACCTATCAAGGAGTACGCTTACTTTGTCCTTGGACTCTTTTCCCGGTTCTCCACTACAGACCACTTTCACGGAAAAGGCAATCGGCTGAACAGATTTTGCATCTGATCCAGTAAGTTAAGACGTTTATTAGAAAGATTACTAACTTTGCTGCACTGTGACAAAACCTCAAAGAATCACCAAATCTGGATCATTCTAAAATCTTCTACCATGATGGCTTTTATCCACCTTCACGATCTCGTGTTCGGTTCAGTGCTGATTTCGGTGTGCGGCCAAATGCAGCCTGACCTCCAGCGCTCAGAGACACATCACTTAACGGGGGGTTCCTTGGGCTATTTGGAGGCACGTCCACGGGAGCGAGCCGCCTCGCACTTCAAGTGCTGGTGAGGCACACATGAGAGACTTCTCACCTAAAACTCGTGTAAGTATTTGACCCGCTAAGTCATGCCCCAAACTCCCCTGATCTCCAAAGACTCCAAGGAGCGTGCGAAGGACTGATCGTCTGTGCTGGCGATGCCTGCACTGCAGGCTTCTGGAGGACATGAATCATGCTCTGGGAGCTGGCTACAACGGAGACGTCTGCATCCGAGCTGGCCAGGCTCGGTGAACTGCACTTCCAGGGTGCAATTTATCACCTTCAGAAAGAGCCTCCAGCGCAGATCATGTGAATGCATTGCAGAGGAGCTCATTGCTTCCCACTGATTATCCAGACACACTAGCTGTGATGGATACGCCAACACGGGAAGCACCTAAAATTCAGAGGGGTGATTGCCTCCCAAGAATTTGCTGGTTTATGAACAAAAAAAGCTGCTCTTTAATGAAAGAAAGCTGTGCAACTCCTAATTTTGCAGACAAGTAGTTCTCTTCTGCTCTCCTTTATGCAGGGCATATGTGCTACCCAGGTAATGGCACATTAAGGAGACAATAAGCATTTTCTGCAGCTTTTGACATGAGTAGAAGAGCTGCTATTTGCACAGCATCCAGAAGTAATAAGCCACCTACAGGAAGAACAAATTTGCAAAATATACTGCAAATTAAGTTCAGAGGAGTAGTAAAAAAAAAAAAAACCAAACCATAGTTCCTGAAACATATAAACCAAGTAAATTTGTAGCTAAGTAAGATGGACAGTTTACTGCAACAGCTTTGAATCAGTGGAATTCACATCCCATACTCTGCAACAAGGACCCAGGCGTGTAGGAGCTACACACGTATGATAGGAACGAGAGGAGGAGAGACGAGACCTGCCTTTGCCCAAGGAGGGGGAACGCAGCTCATACAACAGCACGTACGCAGCGGGCCGCGCTCTGCCTGTTCGGGAACGCTCCTGGCACGTGTGAGCAACACGAGGTCACGCTTACGGCAGCTGACGTACTTCTGCGCACGATAAAATAATACTGAACTCCCTGCCGCAGGACGTGAGAGAGGACAAAGCACATTTTCAAAGTAGTTTCAAAAATGGTTAGGCAGAGCTGTGGCGAACAGGTCAGCGTCAGCTGCTGAACAGGAGGCCGGGCGTGCTCTGCTGAGCCACTGCGGCTTCGTGGCGGGGTCAGGAGAGCCGGGTTTGCAGAGCTCAGCAAGGCTGCAGGATTCCCCTCGTTTCAGCGTGTAGCTACAGCTTTGTGCGCAGCAGCGTACAGATACAGCAAGAGAAAAATCATTTTGTGTCTCCTACCCCGTCATCCTCCCAGGCTTTTTTCCTCTGCTCTCCCAGAATTTATATAAGACCAGGAATGTGTTAAAACATCATTAGCAATTTTGCGTGTCCAACCTGCAACAGTGACTTATCTTCAGACAAGCACATTTTGCAAGTCAGAGTGGCTCAGTTTGGGCTGCAGCCTTTATCGATTGCGAACTTTTGGGTTCTTTCCATTTACACAATTCCCCACTTCTTGGAGCTCACCCAAAGCCATTTTACAAGCATGAGATAACTGAATTTTCTGAAACAAGTCGGCAGAGCCACCGCACGGTGACATAGCTGGTTTCCCCGACTAAGCAGCGACAGCCTTTTCCTGGTGATGAAAGAAGGTGGCTGTGCTGTAAATATTTCAAATGCAAACAGCAGACACCATACCTGCTGGCAATTCAATCACATTTTTGCTCTACTTGGGTTTTTTGTGTGTGTTTTGTTTTCTTCTCTGGGGGAGGGAGGGAGGATAAAGACAGATTTTACAATTTTAGGTGATGCTTCACTTTGCTTACAAGCTGAATTTTACGAGGCTGAGTGTGCTAAATGGGATGGAAGAAAGAGAGAACAAATCCACTGAAAGGAGATGGCAAGTGTGATGCAGGCACAAAGCAAGGCTGGGCTGGATGACAGAGGGAGAGCAATACGCTGCTCTCCAAAGCAGAAAACTTGCAGATCACAGCAAGCTGCGGAGGACAGACAGCAAATGGGGTATGAGGCAGTCTGTAAACAATCCACAGAGTTTTTAATTATGTTTTCAAGAAACACATTGCTTGCTGAAGTGCAGCATCTGTACAATCCTATTAATTCAAGCAAATATCACATGATCTAAGCAGATCTTCAGCGAAACGGTCCGATGCGTTGTATTTTCTTGCGATAAGCTTTCTCTGAGATGCATGAAATAAGAGCAGCCATCATGCCAAGTTCAAGGCACGCATAAAGCAGAACAGATTTTTCCCAGAGTTCTGGTTGCAAGTACAAGCAGCAGAGTATAAATTGTTAGAGATGCGTATGTGAGAGTCAGCAAAACCACTGCTGAAGTTTATAGTTCCCAGAGACAGAGACAAGTGTGTCCTGCTGCCACAAGACAGCTACGAGCTTTTGATTCGTGCATTAGCTAGAAAGAAGCTGGGAACTGAATGATGTATCTGGCTCCCACTTAATTCTTCCTATTGTCAAAAAAACACCTATTTTCTCTGTTAACTCTTTTAATCAGGACAGTGCAACACAAAGATGGATCCCAACTACTCATCACCATCTCAAGGCAAAAGGAGCTGCAATAAAATACTAACAGGAGGGGAGATTCAGACCAGGGCAATAGTAAGCCTGGATATACAAGCTGGTAAACCAAGAAAACAAGAACAAGTTTTTATGTTAGAGAACCTGTGCCAAAGGGAAAAAAAAAAAAGAACATACTGTGGAGAGAACCTCCTCCCACGTAAAGGGTTAACGATGCAGAAAAAGAAATGACAATCCCATTAATTGGTGCACAGATAGCAAGAACAGATGATTAATTTCTCCAAGAAACACAGAAGCTTCTGATACTCTTTTTACAATGCTGGTCTCCTTCCTTTCCTTCCTGAACTCCTTCAAGCACTTACAGATTGAAGCATTTGCGGCAAACACCATCGACCACCACGTAGAGTCCTTTGGCAGAACGACACCGGCCAGTCCCAGCAGGAGCACCAAGAATCTGTAAGGCTTGCTGAGGTTTTACATTTTCACACTTCAGTGACCCAGCACTGGGAAAGCACTTGCCTAAAAGACACTCACCTATGTGCGTCAGAACTTGGCAACAAATTTGGAAGCTAAATGTTCATTAAATGCTAGAGCTGCCCTTTTGTCAAAGCAGAGTCAAGGCATTTCGTCGTGCTGTCAGCACACCGAAAATTCAGATGCACACCCCCATGAGCTGTAGCGGGCCACGACGGGTTTTCCCCGCCATCTCCATCAGGTCCTTCTCCAATAAACCCACGTTCCGGTAGCAAGTGCAGTAAGAATCCAAGCTGGCAAACAGTAACTCTAGAGCGTGTGGTCTCTGCGAATGCGGCACTGTTGGTCGTGACCTGGGGCGATGCTCGATGTGGCTCTTCTAGAGGAAAGCTTGCCATGGGCAGGCGCCGCTCCGCCGGCCCTCTCCAACTGCTCTCATCTCAGCCCAGGCTCTCCTTCTAGTTTAGGAATGACTCTGAACTACACTCACTCGACTAGAAACTACAGTGACAGTTTTCTTGGAAGCCAGGACAGACTTTTGGTTCTTGCAGCTCTGGATAACACAGGTAAGGGGAGCCAGGCACAGGTTTGGCTTCCTGCACACA